ACCTTATAGCAGGACATAAGGTTAGGTACCCAATATATAAAACTGTGTCGTTTCCTTTATCTTTTTATTTCATAAACATTTTGAGAACATTAGGTTTCTGATCAATCCCACAAACATCATTTTGGTTTTATTTCTCAGTTGCAAAGAGGAACATATTCGTGATCTTCACCCGTCCACGGCGGTGATTCCTGGGAATGGGTTCACCAAAAACCTCAAAACAAACCTCGCATCGTCGTTCGTTTCGCAAGCCTTCACCATCAAAATCTGTATATTTTCAGCCACATTTAAAAATCGATTCTCGATTAGTATCGTAAGCAATGATGCAAAAGACTCAACACTGGGTCTAAAATTAGATCTGTGACAAAGTATTGAAAAAAGAAAGAGTTGCCTGTGGCTTCAAGTTACGGTTCGAAGAATCTTTCAATCGGGCCCCTCACTATTACAAGAATTTGTGTACTCTTTAACATCTACCGATCTTGTTGCTTGCTTCTCCAACAAATTCGTCAATTCCACTCTTTATCCAACCAGATTCGTTTAATTCCACTCTTGTATCCAACTAGGATCGTTAATTCCACTCTGATTAATCATGTGACACATTGAGGCGTTTTTCAATTTTATGTTTTTCAATTTGTTCTACTTGCGCATCAGGTGAGATAAAATTAGATTGATTCCAATTTTTTTACTTATTTCATTAGATTTAGATGTTCGATCACCAGGTGTTTCATTAAATGTCTTAGTGAAGTTTTGTCTCAAAATGGCTTAGAAAGCATAGGCTATTATCGAGAAAGGGTGTTATCTCGCTCAAAATGTGAATTTAGGCTTTGTGCCCTTGGTCCACATATAAGTTGTTCAGATTCTCCATTGTTGTGTAAGTTTTCACATTGGCTTCTTTTATCTTGCACAAGTATTACATGTCACCCATTCATCATTTTGAACAAGTTTACTAGTTTAAAGCAAATGGACTCCTGTTCAATGTCCAAAATGAACAAAGTCATGCTCCCATAAAATCAAGTCACATTAGGGAAGAGGTAGGAAGAAATCCGACACTGCCCCAGTCCCACATTGTTCCTCCTCTTTTTTGGTGTAAAAGAATTGTAATTTTTGTCTAGTCATGTTATCTCATGTCCTGTTGGATTCTTGATTTTTTTTTTAATTTTTTTTTGCTTCACGTTTACCATGAACTACAAAACCGAAATGGAGCATTATAGAGATAATTTCAGAAGAGAGCCACTCATAAACAATGCGATAGTGCCATTTCAATAACATTATTTCACAAATATGATGTTGGATGACAACCCATGGTGAAAATTCTCATCAAACTCCTGAAAACGAGAGTATTCTGCCAATGAAAAGAGTAGTAATGAAGCTGAAGAGGGTACTAAAGATAAGAACTTAAATCTTCTAATTCCATTAGCAATTGAAATGGGAGATGAAAATTATGACACTAAAAGGAAGCCAAACCGTAGTTCAAGATTTTATCAAGTTTAGCTTTCCTAAAAAATGTTGCTTTTAAAGATTTTAGTTTACCTTTTATGTTTTTTATTTCTATGTTTTTGTTGGTAATATGTTTGGTAAAAGTAGTGTTTTTGTAATACTACTTTCTTGATTTTTTTTTTGTTTATGGATATTGATATGTTTTTTAATAAAATTTGAGTTTTTAGTTGACTTTCAAAGTTTCCAGATTTTTAATTAATTTTCAAAATTTCCTATTTTGTTGTATTTTATTCACTGTGTTTTGTACATGCCTCACTAAACACTTTTTCTATGCAATATGTACCATCGGTTGGTGTGCACAAAGCATAGTTCGCTTGTTTTGGAGTAATAGGGGCAAAATTGACTTTCTTGATTTTTTTTGTTCATGGATATAATTTTATTTTTAACCTATAACAACATCCTACTTTTATGTTTACTTTTATTGTTAACCCATAATGACATCCTACTTTTACTTTTAACCTACGATTGCTGTATATTTTCACTTTTAACCCATAATGGCTGAATATTTTCATTTTTTTTTTGGAAACGGCAATTGATTAAACGGAAGCCTACTCGCATATTTCAACGAGCACCCCGGGTTCGAGCTCCTTTACAGGGCAAACCCAGCCCCCATAGGGGTTTCCAGGGAAAATTTCCCCACATGTGGCACAACTTTAAGAGACACCCAAATTGGGTTTTGTAGGGATTGAACTCCCGACCTCTGACCCCACGTGGGTATTAAACCCGGTACCTCTTCCCAGCTAGGCTGGAAGTCATTGGTGAATATTTTCATTTTTAACCCATATTAGCATCCTAATATCACTTTTAACCCATTGTGGTTGTATATTTTCACTTTTAACCCATAATGGTTGTATGTTTTCACTTTTAACCAATAATGGCTGAATATTTTCATTTTGAACCCATATTTGCATTCTAATATCACTTTTAACCCATTGTGGTTGTATATTTTCACTTTTAACCCATAATGGTTGTATATTTTAACTTTTAACCCATAATGGCTGAATATTTTCATTTGTAATCCATATTAGCATCCTAATATCACTTTTAACCCATTGTGGTCGTATATTTT